TTCAGGAATTTGTCTATTTCTTCCAGGTTGTCCAATTTGTTGGCATATAATTTTTCATAGTATTCCCTGATAATTGTTTGTATCTCTGAGGGATTGGTTGTAATCATTCCATTTTCATTCATGATTTTATCTATTTGGGTCATCTCCCTTTTCTTTTTGAGAAGCCTGGCTAGAGGTTTGTCAATTTTGTTTATTTTCTCAAAAAACCAACTCTTGGATTTGTTGATCTGCTCTACAGTTTTTTTAGATTCTATATTGTTTATTTCTGCTCTGATCTTTATTATTTCTCTTCTTCTGCTGGGTTTAGGCTGCCTTTGCTGTTCTGCTTCTATTTCCTTTAGGTGTGCTGTTAGATTTTGTATTTGGGATTTTTCTTGTTTCTTGAGATAGGCCTGGATTGCAATGTATTTTCCTTTCAGGACTGCCTTCGCTGCGTCCCAAAGCGTTTGGATTGTTGCATTTTAATTTTCGTTTGTTTCCATATATTTTTTAATTTCTTCTCTAATTGCCTGGCTGACCCACTCATTCGTTAGTAGGGTGTTCTTTAACCTCCATGCTTTTGGAGGTTTTCCAGACTTTTTCTGTGGTTGATTTCAAGCTTCATCGCATTGTGGTCTGAAAGTATGCATGGTATGATTTCAATTCTTGTAAACTTATGAAGGGCTGTTTTGTGACCCAGTATATGATCTATCTTGGAGAATGTTCCATGTGCACTCGAGAAGAAAGTATATTCTGTTGCTTTGGGATGCAGAGTTCTAAATAGATCTGTCAAGTCCATGTGATCCAATGTATCATTCAGGGCCCTTGTTTCTTTATTGACCGTGTGTCTAGATGATCTATCCATTTCTGTAAGTGGGGTGTTAAAGTCCCCTGCAATGACCACATTCTTATCAATAAGGTTGCTTATGTTTATGAGTAATTGTTTTATATATTTGGGCGCTCCGGTATTCGGCGCATAGACATTTATAATTGTTAGCTCTTCCTGATGGACAGACCCTGTCACTATTTTATAATGTCCTTCTTCATCTCTTGTTACAGCCTTTAATTTAAAGTCTAGTTTGTCTGATATAAGTATGGCTACTCCAGCTTTCTTTTGGCTTCCAGTAGCATGATAAATAGTTCTCCATCCCCTCACTCTCAATCTAAAGGTGTCCTCAGGTCTAAAGCAAATAGATGGGTCTTGTTTTTTTATCCATTCTGATACCCTATGTCTTTTGGTTGGCGCATTTAATCCATTTACATTCAGTGTTATTATAGAAAGATATGGGTTTAGAGTCATTGTGATGTCTGTATGTTTTATGCTTGCAGTGATGTCTCTGGTACTTTGTCTCACAGGGTCCCCCTTAGGATCTCTTGTAGGGCTGGTTTAGTGGTGACAAATTCCTTCAGGTTTTGTTTGTTTGTTTGGGAAGACCTTTATCTCTCCTTCTATTCTAAATGACAGACTTGCTGGATAAAGGATTCTCGGCTGCATATTTTCTGTCTAGCACACTGAAAATCTCGTGCCAATTCTTTCTGGCCTGCCAAGTTTCAAAAGAGAGATCAGTCACGAGTCTTATAGGTCTCCCTTTATATGTGAGGGCACGTTTACCCCTTGCTGCTTTCAGAATTTTGTCTTTATCCTTGTATTTTGCCAGTTTCACTATGATATGTCGTGCAGAAGATCGATTCAAGTTACGTCTGAAGGGAGTTCTGTGTGCCTCTTGGATTTCAATGCCTTTTTCCTTCCCCAGTTCAGGGAAGTTCTCAGCTATGATTTCTTCAAGTACCCCTTCAGCACCTTTCCCTCTCTCTTCCTCCTCTGGGATACCAATTATGCGTATATTATTTCTTTTGAGTGTATCACTTAGTTCTCTAATTTTCCCCTCATACTCCTGGATTTTTTTATCTCTCTTTTTCTCAGCTTCCTCTTTTTCCATAACTTTATCTTCTAGTTCACCTATTCTCTCTTCTGCCTCTTCAATCCGAGCCGTGGTGGTTTCCATTTTGTTATGCATTTCGTTTAAAGCGTTTTTCAGCTCCTCGTGACTGTTCCTTAGTCCCTTGATCTCTGTAGCAAGAGATTCTCTGCTGTCAGCTATACTGTTTTCAAGCCCAGCGATTAATTTTATGGCTATTATTCTAAATTCACTTTCTGTTATATTATTTAAAGCCTTTTTGATCAGCTCATTAGCTGTTGTTATTTCCTGGAGATTCTTCTGAGGGGAATTCTTCCGCTTGGTCATTTTGGATAGTCCCTGGCGTGGTGAGGACCTGCAGGGCACTTCCCCTGTGCTGTGGTGTATAACTGGAGTTGGTGGGCGGAGCCGCAGTCAGACCTGATGTCTGCCCCCAGCCCACCGCTGTGTCCACAGTCAGACTGGTGTGTGCCTTCTCTTCCCCTCTGCTAGGGGCGGGATTCACTGTGGGGTGGGGTGGCCTGTCTGGGCTACTTGCACACTGCCAGGTTTGTGATGCTGGGGATCTGGCGTCTTAGCTGGGGTGGGTAGGCAAGGTGCATGGGGGCAGGAGGGGCAGGCTTAGCTTGCTTCTCCTTAGGTGATCCACTTCAGGAGGGGCCCTGTGGCTGCAGGAGGGAGTCAGATCCGCTGCCGGAGGTTTGGCTCCGCAGAAGCGCAGAGTTGGGTGTTTGCGCAGAGCGAGCAAGTTCCCTGGCAGGAACTGGTTCTCTTTGGGATTTTGGCTGGGGGATGGGCGGGAGAGATGGCGCTGGCGAGCGCCTTTGTTCCCCACCAAACTGAGCTCTGTCGTCAGGGGGCTCAGCAGCTCTCCTTCCCTTTGTCCTCCAGCCTTCCCGCTTTCTGAGCAGAGCTGTTAACTTATGACCTCCCAGTCGCTAAGTCGCGCTTGCTGTCGGAACACAGTCCGTCAGGCCCCTCAGCTTTTTGCAAGCCAGACTTGGGGGCTCTGCTTGGCCGGCGAGCCGCCCCTCCGCCCCGGCTCCCTCCCGCCAGTCCGTGGAGAGCGCACCGCCTCGCCGCCCTTCCTACCCTCTTCCGTGGGCCTCCCGTCTGCGCTTGGCTCCGGCGACTCCGTTCTGCTAATCCTCTGGCGGTTTTCTGGGTTATTTAGGCAGGTGTAGGTGGAATCTAAGTGATCAGCAGGATGCGCGGTGAGCCCAGCGTCCTCCTACGCCGCCATCTTCCCTCCCTCCAATAACGTTATTATTATTATTAAATCAGAATAAACACTGAGGGCCAAAGTTGTTCACTTCAGATGAAAATGGGATGAAGCTGGGACTGCTGACATGAGCACTATTTCCTGGGCAAGCTAGGTGTCCTGAGAGTAAGAAGGGAACACCTTTGGGGTTGGGATGAAAGGAAGCACAAGCCCCAAGAACACTGTATCCTGACCTTGATAGGGCAGGAAGTCTTCTGACTCTTGCTTTACACTTCCAACCAGTGGGCAGAGGCACTCGTGATCTAACATAATGTTGGCTTCTTTCTGCTGGCTGGCAGCCATGTCTGTGGAATTGGGTTCTGGCCCCAGAGTCCTTGAATGGGCTCTCTTCCCTGACCATCTGGGAAAGAACAATGTTCATGCTCAAACTTTGATCTTTTCAGATTGCAGGAATGTCACAGGGGCCAGTGGGATCAGGGTAACCAACCCCCCACCCCCAGGCCAACAGAAGCATACCAAGCACACAGGTCTCGGGAAAGGAGGGCAATATGTCCTTAGGAATCACCATGTGCTAGCTGCTTGTGAATGCTAGGCACTCTCTGAGTCAAAGCCACATGGTTCCTGACTCTGACCTCTGATCTCCATCTCCCCTTGCACAGAAGTAAGGATGGCTCCCTCCTAATAACACTTGTGCCTTCCCCATGCTTTTTGCCTTCTGTTGCCAAGATAGGTCTCACGGGTGAGACCCATTGCCCATGTTCTCCTCGATGTAGGTGAACTTAGCAGGACTCCACATTAAAGTCAGAGAGAAATACTTCCAGGCTCGGACTCTCCCTCACTGGAAAACCTGGCTAGAAAGAGACCAGGGGAGTTGGAAGGGATGCACTTGGGTCCAAATTCTTTGTCTCAGATGATAATGGAATAAAGCTGTGAATGAAGTTACTTGCACAATTCCCCAGGGAAGCTGGGTGTCCTATGTCTATGGAAAACCTGTGGGCTATAGTGAAATGGAACATATTTTAGCTACACCTGGGAGCCCCAATGTAGCATAAAAACCCTACATTTGACCTCAAACAGCGTAGGAGGGCCCTGGACTCTTGCCAGCTTTGCAGCATTTCCTGTCAGTGGGTAATGAGAGACTAAGAGAAAAATTACCAGGTGTACTCACAACTGCAAAGAAAAGACCTCCTCCCTCCCCCCCCTCCCCGTTCCCGAAACCAGCCAGGGCATGCCCGGTTGTAGTCTGACATAAAGGCGGGAACCAATCAAGTTCTGCTGAGCGTTCAAATTTAAATGTTAACCAACAACAGCTCTGTAACCTCTAAAAAATATCCCTAACTTGTTTGTGCCTGTCTATAAAAGAAGCTGTAAGATCCTTACTCGGGGCCTCTTAGCGTCACCGGCAACGAGTGCGCGGAGGACCGGGTTCGAACATGCAATAACGACCCTTGCCGCTTGGCTTTGATTCTGGACTCTGGTGGTTTGTTTTCGGGGGGGTCTCTCGAATCGGGGCATATCATCTGGGGGCTCGCCCGGGATCCCCCCAAACCCACCAGACCCCAAGTCAACGGGTCGTCCCCGAGACCGATTGGTGAGTGAGCCGGATCTGTCCGTTTCTGTTTGTTCGTTTCTGGCTCTGTCCGTTTCTGTTTGTCTGTTCGTTTCTGGCTCTCCCGCGCGGGATCTGTATCGGTGACTGACACGGCCCAGGCAGACGCGCTATAGGGCAGTCGGTCGGGTCCAGTAGGAGACGTCCACTGGCACCCGTCTGGGGCACCTCTTTGGGCCCATCGGAATTTTTCTGTTCGGGTGGCAAACACCCGAAACGTGCTAGCGATCTAAGTGTTGTGTTCTCTATTCTATAATTTTTAAGTGTTAAACTCCTTCTCTTTCACAGGCGACCTGGCCTGGCCCAGCCAGAAATCCTCATAACTTTACTGTTTCTCCTTTTAATCCTTTCCTCCACCTCCAGGATACAGATGGGCCAATCTCAAAGCACTCCTCTTTCTCTCCTCGTTGCTAACTTCAGGGATGTTAAAACCAGAGGACAGAATTTGAGTTTAGACATCCGGCGGGGAAAATTAATAACCCTCTGCCGCTCCGAATGGCCAACCTTCGGCGTTGGATGGCCAACCGAAGGAACTTTCTGCCTCCCTATAATTGCTAAGGTGAAATCAAAGATTTTTCTACCGGGTCGCGAGGGACACCCGGATCAAATTCCCTACATTCTTGTATGGCGGAGTTTAGTGGAAAATCCACCCCCTTGGTTGGCCCCCTTCCTATCCTCGGGAACATGTAAGGTCCTTGCCATGCAGCCTGCAGGTCCCCCACAATCAAGGACGCCAGCCGCGCCCTTGTATCCCATATTGCCCGATAGTCAGGACCTACTATCCCTAGAACCTCCATCCTATCATCCCCCTCCCCTGGCACCCCAGGCCCTGCCCGCAGCCGCCGCCCCGCCAGTCGCCCCGCTAGTTGCCCCCCTAGGGGAACCGGGAGGACGGGAAGCGGCAGCTGCGCCGGAACCAGGAGGACGGGAGGCAGCAGCTGTGCCGAGCCCCATTGAAAATGAAACCAACTGCGGGGGGCCAGCCGGCAGAACCCGCGGGCGCACCCAGCGTGAGCCAAACCCTCGCCTCCCTGACTCCACTGTGGCCCTACCCCTGCGGGAAATAGGACCCCCCGATGAAACAGGCAACCCCCGACTCCAGTATTGACCCTTTTCCACTAGTGACCTTTACAACTGGAAAACGCAGAACGCTCGATTCTCTGATAACCCTAAAGATCTAATAGCTCTTTTAGACAGTGTCATGTTCACCCACCAGCCCACCTGGGATGACTGTCAGCAGCTCCTCCGCATCCTGTTCACCACAGAGGAGTGAGAGAGGATCCAATTAGAAGCAAGAAAGCTGGTTCCTGGAGACGACGGTCGGCCGACATCTAACCCTGACCTCATTAATGCGGCTTTCCCCCCAACCAGACCTCCACAGGACGAATGGGACTACAACACGGCAGAAGGTAGGGGAAGGCTACTCATTTATCGCCAGACTCTGATGGCGGGTCTCTGGGCTGCAGCTCGCAAGCCCACCAATTTGGCTAAGGTATATTCGGTCGTACAGGGAAAGGCAGAGAGTCCAGCTGCTTACTTAGAGAGATTAATGGAAGCCTTTAGGCAGTTTACTCCCATGGATTCAGAAGTCCCTGAAAACCAGGCTGCTGTCGTTATGTCCTTTGTAAATCAAGCAGCTCCTGACATTAAAAAAAACTCCAAAGGCTAGAGGATTTAGAAGGTAAACAGATCCAGGATCTGCTCCGTATAGCACAACGGGTCTACAACAACAGGGATGCCCCAGAAGAGAGACAGATCAAAGCCACAGAGAAAATGACTAAAGTCCTGGCCGCTATAGTCCAGAAAGAACAGCCACCCCCAGAAGGCATTCAAACAATACACCCTCCCAGGCGGCACTTAGATAAAGGTCAATGCGCCTATTGTAAAGAAAAAGGCCATTGGATAGGAGAATGCCCCAAGAAGAAACAACCCCGCCCCAGCCAAGGGCAATGGCAGCCTAAAATAGCCCCCATACTGTTTACCCAAGATACAGAATAGGGAGGACGGGGTTCGGATCCCCTCCCCGAACCTAGGGTAACATTGCAAGTGGAGGGGACCCCGGTCCAGTTCCTAGTTGGTACCGGGGCACAGCACTCAGTTCTGGTCAAGCCCCATGGAAAAGTATCTGAAAAATCATCCTGGGTACAAGGGGCCACCGGAATAAAGAAGTACCCCTGGACAACTCAGAGGACTGTGGACTTAGGAACTGGGAAGGTAACCCACTCCTTCCTGGTCATTCCCGACAGCCCCTGGCCCCTGTTGGGGAGGGATTTGCTTACCAAAATGGGGGCCCAAATTCATTTCCAACCGGGGGGGCCCACAGTGACTGACTTCCACAACCAACCCATATCTGTACTCACTGTGAAACTAGAAGATGAATATAGGCTCCATCAGGAACCCACTCCTCTGGATCAGGACATCGAGCCCTGGCTTCAACGCTTCCCAGACGCGTGGGCAGAAACGGGTGGTATGGGGTTAGCAAAACATCACCCAGCCCTATTTATAGAGGTCAAGCCCGGGACGGACCCCGTCCACGTGCGCCAATAACCTATGCCCACGGAAGCCAAAAATGGCATCACACCGCACATCCGCCGCCTCCTTGACTTCGGGGTCCTACGCACCTGCCACTCAGCATGGAATACCCCCCTGCTGCCCGTGCACAAACCCAACAGCGGGGAATACAGACCAGTGCAGGACCTGAGAGAAGTCAATAAGCGGGTGATGGACATACATCCAACCGTTCCTAACCCCTATGCTCTCCTGAGCGCCCTCAGCCCAAAAAACAATGGTATACTGTTCTGGATCTAAAAGATGCTTTTTTCAGCCTACCACTAGCGCCTAAAAGTCAAGAGCTATTTGCATTCGAGTGGACAGATCCAGACAGGGGCATAAATGGCCAGCTCACTTGGACCCGACTGCCACAAGGATTCAAGAACTCTCCGACCCTGTTCAACGAGGCTCTACACGAAGATTTAAGTGAGTACAGACAACAACACCCTAATATAACTCTCCTACAGTATGTTGATGATCTCTTAATAGCTGCCGAGACACCCGAAACCTGCATCCAGGGAACCGAAGGTCTCCTGCGAACTCTGGGAACCTTAGGCTACCGCGCCTCAGCACAGAAGGCTCAGATCTGCAAGTCAGAGGTAACTTACCTGGGTTACTTACTGAGAGGGGGGCAACGCTGGCTAACGGATGCCCAGAAGGAGACTGTCCTTCGTATTCCCAGACCACAGACACCACGACAGGTGAGGGAATTCCTAGGGTCGGCTGGGTTCTGCAGACTATGGATACCAGGGTTTGCTGAATTAGCAAAACCTTTATACCAGGCAACAAAAGATCAACAGCCCTTTAGTTGGACGGAAGAAGCCGAACAGGCCTTCCAACAAATCAAAACTGCTCTGCTATCAGCACCTGCCCTGGGACTCCCCGATGTCTCCAAACCCTTCCACCTATATGTAGATGAAAACCGAGGCATAGCTAAGGCGGTGCTAACTCAGCATTTAGGCCCTTGGTGCAGGCCAGTAGCCTATCTGTCTGAAAAGCTAGATCCAGTGGCTGCCGGATGGCCACCCTGTCTCCGGATGATTGCAGCCACTACCCTAATGGTAAAGGATGCTGATAAGCTGACCATGGGCCAAGAATTACAAGTCACCGCCCCGCATGCCATCGAGGTCATCCTCAAGCAGCCGCCTGACCCATGGCTGAGCAATGCCTGACTCACTCATTACCAGGGACTGCTGTTGAATCCCCTCAGGGTCATCTTCACCCCCCTAACGGCCCTGAACCCAGCATCACTGCTGCCAGACCCAGACATGGGAACCCAACTTCATGACTGCGCTGACATACTGGCTCAAGTTTATGGGGTCTGGGAGGACTAGCAGGATCAGCCATTATTGGACGCAGATGCCATCTGGTTTACCGACGAAAGCAGCTTCGTTCACCAAGGACAAAGGTATGCGGGGGCGGCCGTGACTTCAGAGACCGAGGTAGTGTGGGCAGAAGCTCTACCCCCCGGAACCTTGGCCCAGAAGGCTGAGCTAATAGACTTAACCCAGGCCCTAAAGTTAGGAAGAGACCGCAAGCTAACCGTGTACACTGATAGCCGATATGCCTTCACCACCGCTCATATACATGGGGCGATATACAGAGAACGGGGGCTCCTCACAGCTGAAGAGAAAGACATCAGAAATAAAGAAGAGATTCTAGCCCTGCTAGCAGCCTTATGGGAACCCAAAAAGCTAGCGATTGTGCATTGCCCAGGACACCAGAAGACAACCGACCCAATTTCCCGGGGCAACAATTTGGCCGATCAGACTGCAAAAAACAGCTCGGCCCCCAGCGCAATTGCTGACCCTACAGTTGCCAGACCCCGGACCCCGGGAATTGCCCCCCAGCCCTGAGTATTCAGAAAGCGACATTCAATGGATGAGTAAACTTCCTATGACCCGAATCAAAGATGGCTGGTGGAGAGACTCTAAAAGCAGCATTATACTCCCAGATAAACTAGGATGGCAAGTTCTAGAGTGGATCCATCGCAGCACCCACTTAGGTTCCTGGCGAATGTTGGACTTACTGAGACAGACTGGACTAAAGATCAGAAATGTCTCTGATAAGGTCGACCAAGTAGTTACTAAATGTACAGTGTGCCAACTCAACAATGCGAGTAGTAATCCTCAGACAAGGGTAAGACAAAGAGGGAGCAGACCGGGAACCTACTGGGAAGTAGATTTCACTGAGGTAAAACCAGGAAAATATGGATATAAGTATTTGCTAGTTTTTGTAGATACCTTTTCAGGATGGACTGAAGCCTTTCCAACCAAGAATGAAACGGCGCAGATTGTAGCCAAAAAGATCCTAGGAGAAATCCTGCCCAGGTATGGTTTTCCAGTAATGATAGGGTCAGACAATGGACCTGCATTCGACTCTAAGGTAAGTCAGGGACTAGCTTCCATACTTGGGGCTGATTGGAAATTACATTGTGCATACCGACCCCAAAGCTCAGGACAGGTAGAGAGAATGAACAGAACCTTAAAGGAGACCCTAAACAAATTGACCATGGAGACTGGCACTAATTGGGTGGTCCTTCTCCCCTACACTCTGTTCAGGGTGTATTCCCCATACAAACTGGGACTCACACCCTATGAAATAATACATGGTAGACCACCCCCCATCACCCCTAACCTAAAAGATAACCTTGTCAAAGCTGAGAACGATAATAGTCTTGAATTCTTGTTCTCCCTACAAGACTTGCAGAGGGTCCATGAAGATATATGGCCCAAATTAAAGGAACTCTATGAGACTGGACCCCCGCCTATTCCACATCAATTCCGGCCAGGGGATTGGGTCCTTGTCAAACGTCATCGGCAGGGAACTCTGGAGCCCAGGTGGAAAGGACCCTTCCAGGTCATCCTGACAACGCCTACTGCCATCAAAGTAGACGGAATCGCCACCTGGATCCATTTCGCCCACGCCAAACCAGTGGACCCATTCTCAGACCTCATCGGACCTTCAAAGACAACCTGGACTGTTGATTGGACTAAGGACAATCCTTTAAAATTGACCCTATTCCCCCAATGGACTGAGCCGTAACTATGGTACTTGCCCTTCTCTTGATTGTTCTGCAAATTCTGTCTGTAAATCCAAACCCCCATGACCCCTATAATTTGACATGGGAAATTACTAATTTAGAGACTCATGAAGTCTACAACAAAACCCTAGGAACTGCCCCATTAAATACCTGGTGGTCAGATTTATATTTTAATTTAGAAAAAATTAGTCCATTAAAAGAAACGGAAGGAGGTAAATGGAGGCAACTGCAAAGGAGGGTATCAATAAGTAGAAATGGATTTTATGCATGTCCGGGATTTAGGACGGGGGCAATGAGGCACACATGTGGAGGGTTTGAAAACCTCTATTGCACAGCCTGGAGTTGTGTGACCTCCAATGATGGGGAATGGAAGTGGGAAGTAAAACCCCAATTTATTGAAATGTCCTATGTCCAACCATGTACCCGCACCAAGTATGATGAAAACTGTAACCTTATTCATGTGAGATTTACAGAGGAGGGGAAAAAGGATAGGCAGTGGGTCTTAGGACTCACTTGGGGACTCTACTTATATCAATATCCCCTCTTTGGGACTGCCATTCAAATAAAATTAAGTCTCCCCTCTTGTACAACCGGTAGGGCCAAATCAGGTATTAGAAAAAAAAAAAAAGAAAGAAAAGAGACGAGTCTATCCCAGAAGGTATAGACTCCCTATGGAAATTGCTAACAGCAGCATATGAGGCCTTAAACCTATCAGACCCTGAGGCAACAAGGGCCTGCTGGCTATGTTATGATATAAAACCCCCCTTCTACGAAGCCATAGGTCTAGCTGCCCCTTTTTCACAGTCAGAAGAAGAGTCGCCAGCAGCTTGCAAGTGGAATCGAAAGGGCCCCCGCCTCACACTGCAAGTGGTCACTGGCAATGGGACTTGTATAGGAAAGGTCCCCTCTAGCCATATCCAGCTCTGTGCCCAGACTAATTACTCTATGGGTGAATCTAAATGGATGATTCCAGCTCCTGACAGTTGGTGGATTTGTTCTAAGACAGGGCTCACCCCATGTGTTAGCAGGGATGTTTTTAATTTGTCACCCAAATATTGTATCATGATATTAATATTTCCAAGGGTTATTTACCACCGAGAAAATGTTGTATATGATCTGTGGACAGAAGGGACGGAAGCAAGAGAGTCAATAAGAACAAAACGGGAACCCTTTACGACCATAACCTTGGCCACCTTATTTGGCCTTGGTGCCATGGGGGCAGGAACAGGGATCTCATCACTAGCCATCCAGCACCGAGGGTTCGATAGCCTAAGGGCAGCCATTGATGAGGATATAGCCAGACTTGAGGACTCAGTCTCGCACCTTGAAAAATCTCTGATCTCCCTTTCTGAAGTGGTCCTACAGAACCGAAGGGGGATAGATCTAGTCTTCCTCCAACAGGGAGGTTTATGTGCAGCCTTAAGAGAAGAATGTTTTTATGCTAACCACACTGGAGTAGTCCGAGAGTCCATGGCTAAAGTTAGAGAAGGCCTGGCCAAACGGAAGCGTGAACGAGAACAACAACAAGGCTTGTTTGAGTCTTGGTTCAATCAGTCCCCATGGCTAGCCACCCTGCTTT